GTCTCACTCTTGCTCAGGCTGGTCTCCAACTCCTGACCTCGAGCGATCCTCCCGCCTCGGCCTCCCAGAGTGCTGGGATGACAGGTGTGAGTCAACACACCCGGCTAATTTTTTCTATATATTTTTAGTTGGCCAATTAATTTCTTTCTATTTATAGTAGAGACGGGGTCTCAGTCTTGCTCAGGCTGGTCTCGAACTCCTGACCTTGAGCAATCCTCCCTCCTCGGCCTCCCAGAGTGCTGGGATGACAGGCCTGAGCCACCACGCCTGGCCTCCATTTAGGACTTTTGATTGCAGTATCCTCACTACAACCGTTGTTCCTATTCTTTGACCCCGTGTTTCCATTTCAGGAATTTTTCCTAAGAAAATCATCAGAGAATCTCTCATAGATTATGGCATTTAAAATTGTTTCATGTCTGCAGGGGCGAGCGAGGAGCTTTTCTACTGACATAGGAAAACCCATGGTCAAAAGAACAAGACCAGGGCGGGCGCGGTGGCTCACGTCTGTCATCCCGGCACTCTGGGAGGCCGAGGCGGGAGGATCGGATCGCTCGAGGTCAGGAGTTCAAGACCAGCCTGGTCAGGAGTTCAAGACCAGCCTGAGCAAGAGCTAGACCCCCGTCTCTACTAAAAATAGAAAGAAATTAATTGGACAGCTAAAAACTATATATATAAAAAATTAGCCGGGCATGGTGACACATGCCTGTAGTCCCAACTACTGGGGAGGCTGAGGCAGGAGGATGGCTTGAGCCCAGGAGTTTGAGGTTGCTGTGAGCGAGGCTGACGCCACTGCACTCACTCTAGCCCTGGTGACACAGCAAGACTCTGAGGCTACCTGAGCTGGAATTCCAGGCTGCCAGTTACCAGCAGAGAAATCCTCGGCAAGTCACTCCAACTCTCTCAGCCTCCGTTTCCCCATCTGGAAAATACGGAGAACGATATACTACCCCATAAGAACTTAATTCCATAATACTATTTATATTATACTAATTTATTGGAATGATTATTATCCTGACATATAAACTTACTTCTGCACAGCACGCAATGTTCGTGGCTGTGGGAAGAAGTTACTTTATGAGTATTACTATGATAATTACATGCATATTCTCGTTTTCTGATTTTCTAATTTTCTAATACTACTAAGGTACCTGGGTCCATAGTAAGTAAAATAATATTTAATGGCCTAGAAAATGTCTTTATATAATGCTTTCAGCGGACAGTATTTGCAAAGTATAGTATAACCTAAATTTGTAAAATGTTTGTATATATATATACACACACACACATATATATAGTGAAATGGAATGAAATATACCAAAAGGCAATAATACTTCTCTCTAGGTGATGAAATTAAGAATTATTTTCATTTTCTTCTTTACATAGTCCTTAATTTTCTAGAGTCTCTGCAGTAAAACTGAGCACTATACCACCCTCTGTTGCCCAGGCTAGAGTGAGTGCAGTGGCGTCAGCCTCGCTCACAGCAACCTCCGACTCCTGGGCTCAAGCGATCCTCCTGCCTCAGCCTCCCGAGTAGCTGGGACTACAGGCATGCGCCACCATGCCCGGCTTATTTATTGTATATATATATATTAGTTGGCCAATTAATTTCTTTCTATTTATAGTAGAGACGGGGTCTCGCTCTTGCTCAGGCTGGTCTCGAACTCCTGACCTCCAGCGAGCCTCCCACCTCGGCCTCCCAGAGTGCTAGCATGACAGGCGTGAGCCACCGCTCCCGGCCTTAATCTATTTTTAAAACTCCTCTATTTTCTCTTCTCATTTAGCTTATAAGGGAATGTGGAAGTTGAAGAATAAAACTTTGCCAATTGTCGTTTTCCCAGAATGAGTGATTCTAGGTAATTTATGCCTGCCAGGCCTTACCGAATATCACTTTCATTCACCCTGACTCCCTTTGTGGCTCTCAGCGGGAGGGCCGGTATTGCAGTTACTATAAATTCTGGGTTTCAGTCTGGTCAGAAATAGAACAGTCTGATTAATCAACTATCCCGACTAATTATCGTCTATGCAACACAGGAATGACCACTTTTCACAAAATTAGATTGCAATTCACACTCCCGAGTCTGCTGAAGGTTGCATAATTTCTCCGAAGATCCAGGTGACTCAATGTCTCTCACCAGGAATTTTACGGCAGGAGAAAAAGAAAAAAAAATTTTTTAAATATGTAAAAATAATAAATGTTAAAAAAATAAATAAATAAATAATAATAATAATAAAAAGCACGTCCTGAGAAAGGCACTCTGCTTGTCTGAGATGTTATAATTATTATTCCGCGGAAATACGATGGGAGCATTCTATTTTGCAACAAGGAAAATTAGATTACAAGTGAACCCTACCACTCTCCCTCCTCCCAGCCCGGATCACGCGCCCTGTAGGGATTGCCACGATGCCCATTGCAACATCTTTCCATGCTGGGCCGCGTGTTCCTCTGGCTTTTGCTGATCCGAGTGGATTTCATACCCAATGGCAGCCCCCGGCAGCAATGAAAACAATTTGGGGGAGACTAGTTTCATCTTGTGGGTTCAAGACATGCTGTTGATTTAAATGTATTGTTTGCCTGGTTTCAGAAAAAAAACAAAGAAACAAAAAACAGAGTGTTTCTAAGATCATTAGTTCAGTGCAACTCTATACTCACATACATCCTACTTTATTTTTAATTTTTTTTTTTTTTTTTTTTTGAGGCAGAGTCTCACTCATGTCGCAGGTAGAGTGAGTGCGTGGCGTCAGCCTCGCTCACAGCAACTAATCCTGGGGCTCAGCGATCCTCCTGCCTCAGCCTCCCAAGTAGCTGAGATACAGGTCGCCACCACTGCCAGCTCATTTTTCTTAATTTTAGTTGCATTAATTCTTTCTTTTTTTGTAGGACGGGTCTCACTGTTGCTCAGGCTGGTCTGGAACTCCTGACCTCTGAGTGCTTACTCAAAACAGAAAGAATTATTGCCAATAAAATTATAAATATTAGCAGGGCGTGTGCATGGCTGTGTCCACGTACTCGGAGAGGAGGCTGAGGAGGAGGATCGCTGAGCCGCAGTGAGTTGGAGTTGCTATGAGCGGGCTGACTCCGCAGCTCATCTAGCCTGGGCAACCAAGAACACTCTGTTCGCAAAAAAAAAAAAAAAATGACATAAGGGTTTTAGTCAAACCCAAGCGGTCGGCGGATAAACTTGTGTCCCTGTTAAGTCCATGTGGACTTACTGCGTGTGG